TCTAAAATCCGTTAGTCGCCTCTTACGACACCCATCGGAGGAAAAGGGGCGGAGAATAGTATTCTTTCTCCGTCTCCGCACGGGCTGCATGTGTTGTTCACTTTATAACATGTGCTGATAAAAACTACCTAAAACGAAGGAAGCTTTCAAAATAAATGAAAAAGTTTCGATAGTCCAGTTTACATTGTCGTACTTACTGGAATAATGAGATTTTTTCCATTGCAAGGCACTTTATATTCGAGCTAGCTAACGAAATGTGGCAGACTTCAATGTTCCATTTTCTTAGAGGCAATTCCGCCTTGCCCGAGGCCTAAACGTCTTTATGCTAATACAGAAATGTTGGTCCAAGAGGTTAGGGTTGATTTTGGTCGCTTGTAGCTTACCGGTTTTAGACACATGTTGGTATACAAAAATGTATTTCTTATGAGCGCTGGATGAGAAGGGTTCGATTCCCGGTAGAACCAGTTTGGGAAATGACTTTTTCTAAATTGGTTCTGGTCTGGGCGTTCTCGGCAGTGCCCTGGAGTGAATTTCGTCGCTCTGGTTCTCATAGTACAGGGGATTCCCTAATTTGAGATCAGGGAGTTGATGTCTGACACGTTATTATTATTAAATACAAATTATATGCTAAATTAACTGCCTGCAAGGCCGAATGGCTACCATGCTAGTATGCCGAGAGATTTCTGGGCCGGGAGAAACATTTTGTATGGCCTACATTTATATCTCTCATGAGTTTGGGTGTAATTTGTGGTTGCCTATGTGTATATCCATGGCACCTACGACATAGGGTTTTCCTAGTGCGTGTAGAGCTGTGAGTGTGTTTTTGTATTTATATACAAAATGTTATTGACTACGTTCAAATTTTTTTTTAACGTAACAAAGTATTCTATACTCGAAAATCATGTCATCAATACATTTGCCCTTGTTAGGCACGGGTATTCTCTCAAGCGAGAGTTTTGAGTTGCGGTTTGAGAACTTGATACGTTTTCTGAGGGTTGTTAACCTTCTTCGACATGCAGGTTTTATGGCGATGTATTGCTTCACCTACTAGTTAGTTCATGATAAATTTCAAACTAAATTAAAATTTCCAAATTACTGAGGGGCGAGTGCGGATTCGAACCCATGGCGTTGTACTCTAGAATTCATTATCAATTAGATATTAGATATTTTATCATTTGTAATGCTTCAATAATATAATTTTTATCCTAAAATATTTTGGTCATATTGCTCGCCGACAACCAGATAATCTCAGCAAACTGGTTGTGGTGGGTAAGGTGGAGGGAAAGAGACCACAGTCGATTACCTAGTCGATGGAGTGACCAAATGACCGTCCTCACTGGCCTCCATAACAACTGCCCTGAGTAAGGCCGAAGACAGAACCAGATGAAAGAAAATCGTCCTTAAAGTCTCGAAAACCTTTCGGGGCCACGACTTTCAGCAATGAAGACTGAAGGAGTTCTAAACCGCTAATGTGCCGTGATCAGGATCACGGTAAAATAGAATACTCCGGTCCACATAATTTATTTCATAAATAAACTCGAGAGGAAAAAGAAAGACCCGAAAGAGGCGAGTTATACAATATTACTAGATTTGATTGGTATTAAAATTGGCACATGATTTAGGTAGAGAACCGGTAAAAGGAACAAAATTAGACGAGCAGCACTGCTCGTTCAGCGATTAAGCAGAGAGTGACGACGGAACGAAATAAAAGGAGAATAACGGGCAACGGAATTAAAGAACGATTCAAAATTTTCAAAATTTGAAAGCAAGTGGCCAGGAACCAGAGAAAATGTGATAAAAAGGCGGAATGACGATGGAAGGAGGTCGCATCGTCACGTCGTGGTGAATGTTCACTGATCCCACGGCGCCGACTCAACCGGCGAGAGGGAAACCCGGGGGGGTTTTAGTGGGGTAGGCCCTCCAGTCTGGAGGGAGAGTCCCCACATAACCCCTGAGTCTCCCTGGGCTCAGGGGTATCCATAAAGATTTCCCCCCAGTCAAAAAAAAAAAAAAAAGGTCGCATCGTCACAAGACAATGACTAACAAGAAGAATGCTTTAATATATCTACGCCGTTTCCAACAGAAAATTTAGCGGTCAATACAGACTGTCCGTTTCAAATTTATTTCCACATTCCAAGTCTACAACTTTGAACAGCCGGAGGCCGCAGACCTTTATGCAACCCCAAGATCTTGGCCCAAAGACCCTCAACGGATCTACTATCTTAGTTTATTATGTATTTAGATTTTAGACCCTTTGCATCTTTCAAAGTAATTTGCATATTATTTTGTTACCACTTGACCGAAGATAAATATTTTGGGTGAACCCGCTTACATTTTGTGCTTCTTAGAATAAGGGTTTAATCCAAAAACAAATTAAAATTCACCAAATTTAACAAAATTTTCAACTTTTATTTAGACTATAACATGAAAAGATAAATCATATAGTATTATAACAAAGCAACGTGTAGTTAAATATGCTTTGATCTCATGAATTTCATGACAATAATTGAAACTACACAAAGCAAATTATGTATGTATAAAATTTCATAAATCTCCTAATTTTAGCATAAAAAAATAATCGATTAATTTTGTTCCTAGAATATTGACACTTCTCTCCTGATAAAGCTGTCATATTGCATATGTATTTTAAATCATAAAAGATCCTTGTGAAAGAGTTCGTCCAGGGAAGTACTGTCACCTTACCTAGTTCTACCGCCAAGCAGTAATGTTAGCATTATTGTATCTCAGTTTTGAAGGGCAAAGGTGCTGGTAAAATTACAGGCACATGGGACTTGTCAACTTATGTCTCAGTGTTAAGGGCTCTGTGGCAGTGCCCTTCAGATCTTTGCGATTTAAAGCTCTGAAAGGCACTACAACTCTTACGGATAGGCATGTTGCTTTTGCTTACTACGAGGCGCACTGTGCGAATATGCGAATTCGTTCGCTAGAACAAAACACTACCTACATTCAACCGTTAAGCGGCAGACATAAAAATAAAATGGCACTACCTAACCTAACCTAAAATTACAAATATACATTACAGGACCATTTCGAATGGCTATTAAAGTCTTTAATAGAAATGCCAAAGATATTTCATCGACACGATGAATTTATTTACCAAATATCTTAAACTGCAAGAGAATTTGATGAATAATTGTCGGAGTATTCATTTTTTTACTGGTTTTTTCTTTTTATTGGTTATTTTTCAGTTTTCTTTTTATAATAATAATAATAATAACGCACACACTCAACATAGCCCCGCACTAGGGAAACCCTGTGTTGCGGGTGCCATGGACACACACATAGACAAATACAAATTACACCCATACTCACGAGAAATAAATATAGGCCATACAAATATTTCTCCCAGCCCGGGAATCAAACCTGCGGCCTCTGCATGACAACCGTTCAGCCACGGAGGCAGTTATTAGTTAGTTTGTTGCATGTTACGATGTATGATCATCATAATATTCAATTAGTTTTACTCCACTAGTTTGTTATAATTTTTAATACAAAAATCAAACAGAAAAAATCCAATAGCAAACCGAGTCAGATGCTATGCCAAGTAGGCCGCGGAACGAGCTAGCGGACCTTATTAATTTTTCTGTGCTTGTGGCAGATCATTGGTTTTGGTTTTTATCAACTTTTTTGAAGATGAATTTATTGGTTATTTAGATTTTCTTTAAAAAAATGTTCTTTTAATGCGTATCTTTAATTTATTATACTTTTGATTGCGGCTATTTCAATTTTGAGATAGCTATGTAATTATTTGACTTTAAATATGCACTTATATCTATGTACAAAGAACAACAATAGAGTTTCTTATTCATTTGTCGCAATCTGCCCTACGAATCAGTAATAGTATTTAAACAATGTGATATTTAAAGTGTAATTTGTTTACCTACGAATCAAAGATATGTTTGAATTTTAAAAAAAAATCCACAAAAGGCGCAACTTGAAAAATCTGCATTCCGAGATTGCGTATACAATAGCCAATGTGAATAGTTCGTAGTTAATAAAATATTAGAATATGAACTTAAATTTTTCGAAACTAAATCACGCATATATTTGTTTTTTAAACAAACCAACGTTTGAAGCTTTTTACATATCCAAAAAAATTGTTTTATTTTCCATGTGTAACAATCGCGAAATCCTAATAACTCTATAATAAAGTATTTTTATTTATATTCTAACACCACATACGAAAATTACAAAGAAACAAAATGATGTCACATAAGAACAGTTAGTTGTACTATCCATATCGCAGTATTTTTTAAAGTACCGATTACAGGATTCATAATAGAACCCATCAGAATATGATTAATAAATTCATTGTTTGAAATTGTTGTTGCAATCATTGTGCTTGTTGCTACAATCTTTGCTTGATAGTCTCAGATGGAAACAAATTACACTATCCTCGCTTAACTCTATTCAGGGCAGTTTCTGCAGAGTAAGTACTGGATGACCTGCCGCCTCCGGTAAAAAATGACAAAACTATATTTTTTCAAAAAAATGTGTAAACAACGGCTACTGTCTGTGCAGAAATCGAGTAGCATTTCGTCGGGGTTACATACCCTAGCAACACAAAATAAAATATTAGATATTTTTAAATTACAATTTTTCAATTTTTACATATTTTACAATTATAGTGCAATACAGACAGCCTCTATTAATTGCTTGGTGCTTAGTATACACTCCGTTTGCCGGTCTGATGCAGCAAGCGAATAGCCACTCCTGAGTCTTCCTCCATTTTTGTCCACACTATTGTTCTCTTGTTTTAATTGTTCGATTATATTTAGTTTATGAGTTTTGTGGATAAATAAATGCCTTTAAATTTTTTTTTATCCATTTATCACCAGAAACAAGATGTTGTTTATTTCCTTTACATTTTTTTGCAGTGCAGAAACCTTTCAGTAGTATTAAATTTGAATGTCATAACTAAATGAATTTTCAAGCAACTACTGGTTATTAAAATGACATCAAATTAAATCAAAACTCACCTAGGAGCTTCTTGACTTCGGCCTGGCTGATGAGCACGTTGAGATGGCCCGTTGCCAATGGCAACAGCAAAGCTGCGAGTACGAGTCTTTGCGCCATCACCTTAACACTCCACCTTACTTAAATTTCACTTTCAAGTGCATTTTTTTGTTTACAAATACGCTCTTAGAAGCTACGTTGCATCCATTTTTATTTACAATCCTAAAAGCAATTCATAACATAATAAAAACATTAAAAAACAAAAACAAAAAGCAAACTAGCACAAAACAAGGACAATAATTAAAAGCGGCTAACGGAAACAGATTCAAAATTAATGGAACGCGACTTAAATTCAAAAATATAGATGAAGATTCGCGCCGAAAAATATCGAAATCCGAGCAGAGCCCGGATACGGGCCGAACGCGTCCCGTTCACGACTCGCCGACGCACTGCCGTTCGGAAACTCTCCACGCGCCAACAAGTTACTTACTGACATGCGCACTTCAAATCTCTCTTTTGCAAACTTTTTAACATACATTGACGTTCTAATTAATATTTTTTTAATATGATTTAAGTAGAGCTAGTAATGTAAAGCATAACTGAGTGAGTTGAAATCAAAAAGTGTTTAAATTTTAAAACGCGTTCATTGAGAGCGACTGGTGTTTTAAAAGGAATTAATTGAGTTTGTCTCAAGGGAGAGGCGTTTCCGTTTTGCATTAGGCCCGGTCGGAGACTACTAATGAAATTACTCTCGCCATGGAGTAACTTAAAAGCTTCGGTTCGGAGAAATAAAGGATTTTTATTTGAATATTCCTTGCCCAAACTTTGTCTTATATTATACCTATAGTTTTTATGGTTTCTTTATTGGTGATATGAGGCATCAGTGGAAAGGTTCAAAGTAAATTTTGTAGAATTGTCAAATATCAAATACGTTGTAGTTAATTGTTTATATTTTTATCTTTTATTTTCATCCCTATTTGTTGTCCGTCAAATGAATAGCCACAATTGCCTTATTGGGCAGTTTACAGCAACCTGATTCTGAATCATACTGTACTCGGAATGACATCTGATGTTATAATTATTAATACAAAGATCTTACAAAAAAATCCTTCGATCCTCCGATTCGAAATTACTCCACTAGATTGTTATAATTATTAATACGAAGATCGAACACTTTCCGGCCGGATTCAAACCAATATCTTCTAGCAAATCGTGACAGACGCTAGGCCAGCTAAGTCACGGACAAACTAGCGGACCTTACGAATATTACGAAATTTCTATGTGCTTCACGGTCTGTAAGGTAAGGCCTGCCACGTATGTATGAAAATCCATGACTGTCCACTTCTCTAACCTTTTAAATCTACCTAGTAATAATGAACTATGTAAACAGGCAAAAGAAAAACTCATAGAGTCAAGAGAAGAGTTTTTTAAAGGCGGTAAAATAAATTAAACTGCTTTGGTATTCTTTTTTGGCTTTGTAGATATGTTCGTCGCGAAGATAAGTTCTAGTGAAAAAAGCTATAACGAAAATGCCTGCAAATAATGTCCCAAACATTACTTTTATTTTAATTAACATTTTCTTTACTTTTCTATTATACATCTTCTTTCGTTTTCTATTATTTCCTATATATTTGGGAAAATCTCTATAACAGCCTCGGCGGGAATGGGGATTGCTTGACTCGTATTAACACAAGGCCTCGTTGGCGCTTGGCCTTGTAACTCGTGCAACAATCCCTCACTTCGACCTCTGCAATAATACGTTTATAATACAAATAGATTCTATTCCACTATTTTACATCAAAGGAATCGTTGTCATATTGAAATAACTACTTTATTTTCACCATATATTCTTGGCTATTTTAATATAAAGTAGGCTGTTCCATATTCCATCGAGTTCCGGTCGGCCGCACTGAGTTTAATCCATCAAAACACCGCAACTACTTGTATTCCTACGAAAATTGTTGCGAGCACATGCTGTTACAGAGATTAGCCACTGGTGGCGAATGTATAAGTAATCCGATTGTCCGTACGGTTGGCACTGATTGATGAACTCGGTTAATGTACGAGTACCTTTACTTCTAAGAAATTAAACTTCTTTCTCTTAAGAAATTAAAAGACTTTTTGGACCTACCCGCTTGTGTATGTAAGTAATACTGTATACAGTCAGCCGTGACAGTGGGATCTATAAAGGGCACAAAACAAATATACACGATTTATATTCGAAATAAACATACTTTAAAAAAATCATTCAACTTCAAAAACCACAAACAGTCACTACACTAAAAAGTAAAAAATAACTAAATAGAGATTGAATCCAAACGACAACAATGCACGTATTTTTTTATTTATTTTTGTCTTATTACGTTTTGCACAAAGTATTATAATAACATAATAATCAACGATCTACATTTATCGTTTATTATACAATTACAACATGACAATTCTTGTTATCTATAATTTTAACAAAAAAATATAATTGGTATGTTTTACTTACTGATCGGTTTGAAGTTTCACTCTACCACTAAAAAAATATATTTACAATATCTAATTAGTTATTTTTGGAGTCGGTGCCAGCCAAGGAACGAAAACAAAGAAATACTTTAGTGGATTCTAATGCTATACGGTAAGTTTGTAAAATTGCCACTTAAAAAACTCACTAATCAAATAGTTTTCTAAAATAATAATAATAATAACGCACAACATAGGGACTATGCACTAGGGAAACCCTGTGTCGCGGGTGCCATGGACACACACATAGATAACCACAAATTACACCCAAACTCACGAGAGAAATAAACCATTCGACCACGGAGGCAGTTGATTATAAAATAAATGATAAAGTAGTATAAAAACCTATATACGTTTGCTTCTCAATAGAAAGGTTAACGTCGGCAGCATTAAATGTAATTTCGACGTTAAGTACATTTATGAATCATTAGTAGTATTACCTATTGCAGTGTTAAATGTGAAAGAAAATAAACGTCGTGATGAAACTTGTATGTCGAAGAAGGTTCACTACTCTTGTAAGAAACTCTAGCAACCAAGCGGACTCAAAATTGTTGGTATTTACGATTATGATGACGAATAAACCTACCGAAATTCATATATCTTTGTTATAAATATTAATAAAAAGATCGAACACTTAAAAAAATGCCTTCGATCTGGCCGGATTCGAACCGACGTCTTCTAGCATACCGTGCCAGCCGCTATACCAACTAAGCTACGAAACGAACCAGCGGACCCCACGATTTTTTTATGTGCTTATTGTCTTGTCTTTGTATTTTGTTTTTCAACGACCTTTTAGCCGTGGCGCCATCTATAAGATATCTATAAAAGTATTTCACCATTTTTTGTAAGTGTTCGATCTTTATTTTAATAATTATATCAAACTAGTGGAGTAATTTTACATGCAAAATAATTGAATATCAATTCAATATCTAATCTGTTAAAAAAAATTGATCAAGTACTTCCTCTGATGAAAAATTACAAACAGACATAAGACTGCAGTACTGATTAATTTGTTTTAATTTATTCTAATTTCCATAAATTTAACTTATTAAAATTCATATTTTTAAAATGAAATAATTCGTAAAACATATGTAACGTAAATTGGAATGTTCTTTGGAAAATTAAAAATTTTTGCACAAGATTATAAGCTATACGAAAGAAAAGAAAAAATGTATAAAAAAGATGGCGCTAACGGTAAAAAAGTCGCTTAACCTCAAAAAAAATAAGATCTGCAACAAACGCATGGAGCAATTCGTAAGATCTGCTGACTCAGTATGTAGTTGCGTTGATTGTAGTGTGCGTTCTTATTATTATTCATATTTTTACAAATAATAATAAGTTACACTACGAATTCAATAACGATTCGAATGGTTTTTCTTGATTCGAGTGTCGTTCGATCATGGCCGCCGTTGTCAAAAAAGAATAACTTCCGCCAGAGTGACAGTCAAACGTTACTCTTGTCTATGGTATAAATAATAATAATTTAAAGGTTTAAAAAATTATATAATTTTAATTAAAAGTTTTGTAATATAAATATTACAAATAATCTCCGTACAGCGTAATAACAAAAACCGACCTCAAAAGTACGTGGCATTACGTTTATTTGCTAAGTTTTATTGAAACATCCTTAAATTCGCCACTATACAGCACTTGACACTGGATATAATAAAAAATTGGTTCTCACTAATCAAAGAATATTGAGAGTAAAACGCCTTGAATTGGAGAAATAGCAAAATCAACCATTAAAATAATTTCCCCTTAAGAAAATTTAGGCGCTATTTATAAAAATTAATCTTCACGCGTGAACAGCCACCCCTAGAGGTGGATGATTTTCTTCAAAATAAAATGGGACCACTATGGAATTACCCACTTTCCAACAAAAAAAGAATCATGAAAATCGGTTCACAAATACCGGAGTTATCGCGTAACATACATACAAAAAACCTACAGTCGAATTAAGAACGTCCTCCTTTTTTAAAATCGGTTAAAAATAAGGTATTAATTAATAACTTTTGTAAATATAGTGGAAAAAAAGGTGATTTGCATTTATATTAAACATAATTAATTAATTGTTGACTTTACCACCTCAGTCAGCCGTGACCATGGGACCTGTAAAGGGCACGAAACGTTGGTTTGTTTGAAAATAATCTCAGTACAGTACAGAATACTAAAAAAACCGACCTCAAAAGTACGTGGAATTAAGTCTATTTGCTAAGTTTTATTGAAATATCCACTAGTTCGCCACTATACAGGACTTGACAATGGAGATAATAAAAATAGGCTCTCACTACTACACTACACAAGGTATATTGAGAGAAAAACGCCTTGAATTGGAGAAATAGCAAAATCAACCATTAAAATAATTTCCCCTTAAGAAAATTTAGGCGCTATTTATAAAAATTAATCTTCACGCGTGAACAGC